ACGAATCATAGAAAAATCGAACAATAAAAAATCTAGACTGAAAAATCAATCGGGAAACTGAAAAACTGGAAGAATCAAAAACCCGAAAAATTGAAAATATCCTACAATTACCACATTAAATTCCTTTTAACGCTTTTTTTAATACTTTCATTTTAATTAACACAATTTAATTGTAAGATCAGAAAATTGTAAATCGAAAAACTGAAAAATCGAAGAATTAAAAACTGAGAAGCTGAACAATTGAGAAATAAAAAAAATCGAAAATTGTAAATTCGTAAAATAGAGAAATCGAAAAATTGGATACTCGAAAAATGGAGAAATTAAAAAATTGAAGAAACTGAAAAATATAAAAAGTGCTAACTAAAAAATTCAGCTATAAATTGGGAAACTGAAAAATCGAAAATATCGCACAATTCGAAAAATTCAAAAGTTGAAAAAACTATAAAAACTTAATAATCGAAAAATTGTATGATCAGAAAATCGCAAATTGAAAAACTGAAAAATCGAAAAATTATACACGAAGAAGCTACAAAATTAAAAAAATGAACAAACGAAACATTGAAAAATCGAACATTAAAAAATAGAGACTGAAAAATTGATAAATCGAAAAATTGCAACTTGGAAAATTGAGAAATCGAAGAAGTGAAAAATCAATCGGAAAACTGAAGAATTGGAAAAATGAAAACCCGAAAAATTGAAAATATCGTACAATTCGAAAAATTCAAAAGTTGAAATGAAAATTTAATAAGTTGATTTAACACTACGGTATTAACCTAAATTTTTACCACATTAAATTGTTTTTAACGCTTTTCTAATACTTTTATTTTAATTAAGACAATTTAATTGTAAGATCAGAAAATTGTAAATCGAACAACTGAAAAACCGAATAATTAAAAACTGAGAAGCTGACAAAATGGAGAAATTAAAAAATTTAAGAAACTGAAAAATCTAAAAAGTGTTAACTGAAAAATTCAATAATTAAACTCGGAAACTGAAAAATCGAAAATATAGCACAATTCGAAAAATTCAAAAGTTGAAAAGAAAAGTTCATAAGTAAAAACTCGAAAAATTGCGAATCGAAAATCAAAAAATTGAACAAACGAAACATTGAAAGATCGAACAATAAAAAATCGAGACTGAAAAATTGATAAAACGAAAAATTACAATTCGGAAAATTGAGAAATCAAAGAAGTGAAAAATCAATCGGAAAACTGAAAAATCGGAAATCGGAATTTATGTTTTGTTTTTTTTTCTTTTCTTAATATACATAGTATTCTTTGAACAACACGATACTCAAACACAATTGAGAGGGGGTGGGTGGGCGGGGCTTATATTTTGTATTTTTTTAATATACGAACTATTTTCCTAACAAAAAACTGAAAACTGATTTAACTACCGTATTTTGCCTTATTTTTTCTTAATATAGACAGTATTTTTTGAACAACACGATACTCAAACTCATGTTTTTAATTTTACGATTTTTCAGTTTTTCGTTTCCTCAGTTTTCGTTTTTTCATTTTTGATTTTTGAATGATAGTTTTGCAAATTTCCGATTTTTTTGATTTGAAAAATTTAAAAATAAAAAAATGAAAAACGGAAAAAATTAAAATTCGGAAAAAAATGAAAAATTGAAAACCTGAAAAAACGAAAAATTGGGAAATCGAAAAAGCAGAAAATTGAAAAAGCGTACATTGAAACACTGAAGAAACCAAAAATTGAAATATTGAAAAACGAAAAATTTAAGAAAATTAGTTACTTAAAAGAAATTGGAAAGAAGAAAAAACGAATCGAATGGAAAAACTGGAAAACCCAAAAACGGTAAAATTGTAAAATGGAAAAACTGCAATATTCAAAAATCAAAAAATGAAAAGTCGGAAAAAAATGGCAAATCGAAAAACTGGAAAAACGAGAAATTGGGAATTCGAAAAAATGGAAAATCGACAAATCGCAAATCGAGAAACTTAAAAATCGAAAAAAAAAATTACACGAAAAATTGGAAAACCCAAGAATTATAAAATCGTCAAAATTGTAAAATCAAAAACTGAAAAATCGAATAAATGAAAAAGTTTTAAAATCCAAAAAAGTTGAAAAATCGAAAAACTGAAAATTCAAAAAAACTGAAAGTCGAAAAAAAATTACAAATTGAAAAAAGTTAATTACTTAAAAAAATGGAAAGAAGAAAAAACGAATCGAATCGAAAAACTGGAAAACCCAAAAACAGTAAAATTGAAAAATTATAATAGAGTTGTCAAAATTGTTTTAACGAGGCGTTTAGCGACGTCCGATTGGCGTAGTGTCGATCACGTGGTACTTTAATGCCGTGTTAAAAATTTATTCGCAATCAAATCTTTAACTTAACTTGTGTAAACTAAAGTTTCTATTTTAAAATTTATCGTTTTTCCGATTTTCCAACTCGTGGATGTTTGAATTTTTAGATTTTGCAATATTTCGATTTGCAATTTCACAAGTTTTCAGATTTTAATTTTCCAAGTATTAGTTAGATGTTTCAATTTTTCAGTGGTTCAATTTATCTATTTGCAGTTTTTCGTTTCGGTTTTTCACAATTTTTTGGTTTTTCAAAGTGAAATTTTTTAATTTTCCAATTTTGCAATTTTTATAGCTTTTATTCTAAACATGTATCTAAGAATACTAACTTTAATTTTTCCACTTTTTCGATTTCGCAATTTCTCGTTTTTTCAGTTTTTCGATTAAATGCATGATTAACGTATTCACAGTTAAAATATTCCATAAACTGGTTCTAAGAGATGCATATCGTAAAATTGAAGAAATGAAAAATTGATAAATCTAAAAATTTCAATATTCCAAAGTCGGAAAATCGGAAAACTGAAAAATTTAAAAATGAAAACTCGAAGAGATGCATGTCCCAAAAGGAAAATGAAAAATTTAAAAATTGCGAAACGGAAAATTGAAAAATCGTAAAATTGTGAAAATAAATTGGGAAACTGAAAAATTAAAAGAGTGAAAACTTGAGAAATTGTAAATACGGAAGAATGAAAATTTCGAAAAACTAAAAACCATAAAAACTGAATAATTGAAAAATTGTATGATCAGAAAATCGCAAATTAAATAACTGAAAATTATACACGAAGAAGCTACAAAATCGAAAAATTGAACAAACGAAAAATTGGGAAATCGAGAAAGCGTACATCGAAACATTGAAGAAACTAAAAATCGAAATACTGAAAAACTAAAAATCTGGAAACTTAAAAATTAAAAAAAATTAATTATTTGAAAAAAAATTGGAAAGAAGAAAACACGAATCGAATCGAAAAACTGGAAAACCCAAAAACAATGAAATTGAAAAATTATACAATCATCAACATTCTAAAATCGAAAAACTGCAACACTGAAAAATCAAAAAATGAAAAGTCGGAAAAAAATGGAAAATCGAAAAACTAAAAAAACGAGAAATTGCGAATTCAAAAGAACGGAAAATCGAAAAATCGCAAATCAAGAAACTTAAAAATCGAAAAAAATTACACGAAAAATTGGAAAACTCAAAAATTATAAAATCGTAAAAATCGTAAAATCAAAAACGCAACAGTCAAAGATCGAAAAAATGAATATCGAGAAATGGAAACATTAAAAATTGAAAAATCGAATAAATGAAAAAGTGTTTAAATCCAATAATTGACAAAAAATGGAAAAAATATACTATCGTAAAATTAAAAACGTGGAAAATTTTTCATTTTTACTTCTTCATTTTTGATTTTCCAGTTTCACAATTTTGCATTTTTTTCTATTTTTTTTTGAAAAGTTGAAAAATCGAAAAACTAAAAATTCAAAAAAATGGAAAGTCGAAAAAAGTTAATTACTTAAAAAAATGGAAAAAAGAAAAACAGTAAAATTGAAAAATTATAGTTGTCAAAACTGTTTTAATCGAAAAACTGTAACACTGAAAAATGAAAAAATTGAAAAATCATAAAAATTAAAAGTCGGAAAAAATTTATAAATCGAAAAACTGAAAAAACGAGAAATTGCGAAATCGAAAAAGTGGAAAAATTTAAGTTATTATTCTTAGATACATATTTAAAATAAAAGCTAGAAAAATTGGAAATCAAAAATTGAAAAATTAAAAAAACTAAAACAAATCGAAAAGTTGAAAACAGAAAAATATAAAAATTTCACCTTGAAAAACCAAAAAATTTGGAAAAACCGAAACGAAAACCTGGAAATAGATAAATTGAAGCAATGAAAAATTAAAACATCTAATAATTGGAAAATTAAAATCTGAAAACTTGTGAAATTGCAAATCTAAAAATTCAAACATCCACAAGTTAGAAAATCGGAAAACCGATAAATTTTAAAATGGAAACTTTACACAAGTTCAGTTAAAGATTTTATTGCGAATAAATTTTTAACACGACATTAAAGTACCACGTGACCGACACTACGCCAATCAGACGTCGCTAAACGCCTCGTTAAAATCGTGATTAACGTAATCACAGTTAAAATATTCCATAAACTGGTTCTAAAATATCGTAAAATTGAAAAAAAAAAAAAAATGAAAAAGTGAAAAAGAAACGAAAAAATGATTGTATTTAAAATCTAACAATTTCAATATTCCAAAGTTGGAAAATCGGAACATTTAAAAATTGCGAAACGGAAAATTGATAAAATTGAAACTGAAAAAAAATAAAAAATTATTTTTTTATTTTCAGTAAAGGTATCTGAAAAAGGGTAGATTTGGCAACTCAGCTTGTTATAAATGTTAATCGCAACCTAAAATTTTGAAGTTTTTATAGTTGGCATAATTGTGTGTAGGCAACCAATAATACACACATCATGAAAGCGGCAAATTTTCCAAAGCCAACTTTTTATGACAAGTTAAAATTATCCTCATAGTTAACTGTATGTCGTTAAACAGCGGACCCTATTAGATCAACAGAGTTTCTTAAACTCATTTTAACTCCTAGATTTTTTCTCAAGTAATTTATTTCCTTTATTTCGTTACACATAACCAAACTTTTCCACCCTACCTGCAACAGCGCCTCAAAGTCCCTCAACTCCGACCTCCTAATAATCCTCTCGAGGTACATCTTCTCCAAAATGGCAACAGCGGGCAGCTGCTGGCACCTTTCGTCCTTGAACAAAGTAGCCAACATCCGCGACCTCTGCTGTCCCGCTGACGCCAGAACAGTGCACACCAAAGCATTCCTCAAAGCCGTCATCCTCTCATCTTCGTGCACAATCACTCTGTACGACAACTCGTTGTACCTCTGCGCCGCCTCAATGAACTTCCTCCTATAATCCAAAACCCTCGCATAGCACACTTTATAGTAAATCTGCAACTGCTCATTTTTCGACTCCGCCTGCAAAAGGGAGGCCCGATTAATAAACGCTTCTGCTTGAACCGGATCATCGTCTTCTAAATACAAACGAGCGATTTTTAGATAAGTTTCTAGTTTGTAGTCGACGGTGTACTGCTTTTGGCCCGTTTCTAAGGGGATGCCTACTAGAACATTGGCGGCCTCGCGCCACATTTGGTTGCGTTCGTAAATGTCGGCGAGGTGCTGCCGAATGCTGGCCACTTGCTCTTCGAAAGAGATGACGCGCGGCTGGACTTTGTCGAGCATGTAGTGGCACACGTCTTTGGAGATGTCGTCCGGGAGCTTCATTAAGTGGGCGCCGATTTCGGTGAGGATTTGTCTGGAGATCACCAGGCTGACGTTTTCATTGACGACTGGAACAAGTTTAGTGGAGGGGGATTATTTCAGGAGATGGGGGCGCCTACTTGCTTCGATGAAGATCTGAAGACCTTCGCTTAGGTCTGGTCCTAAACCGGTGAGGATGTTCTCGAGGATTATGCGGTATCTGCAATTGGGTTTTAAAAGTTGAAAATTTTTGTCAATATAACCTCACTTTTCGGCTTGGTCTTTGTGGGAGCCTCCTGATGCTATTATGTTGGATAATTGGGACCTTATAGCGTTGATTTTTTCGGACATGATGAGTGGAACGTTGTTTCTGCTTCTTCGGTTATTATTATTTGATTATTATTTTTTTAAGAGTAATTGTTTTTTGACAAATGACAGATATGAAGAAATGACAGAACAACACGATCAAGGGATCATAGATTTGTTTTTTTTTGAATAAGTTTTGTAATTGAATAAAAATCAAATTCGACTTTCATCCGCACTATTTGATTAAAAAATTAGTGAAAATCTTGCAGGGAGAAAATAATTTACATGCGCAAATGTAATTTAATACTAAAACAAATTCCGTGTCTGATTTACTGGTTGCTTATTATTCTGTTTTGTTTATTAATGATGTCATTGTATTTGAGGTTATATTCAAAAAATAAAACATTACTTTATTGATTATTTTTACTTACCTATAAAAAAAGTGTAGCCCATTATAACCTAACAAATATTTATTTAAAACTCATAATTACCAATTAATTCGTTACTAATTACCTTAATCCCTGTTATGCAATTGTAGTTTTCAAAAAAAGTGGGTTCTAATCAATTTAATTTCTAATATATAAGAATGGAACAACACAAATCAATGATTAAACTATGTAGTTAAAAAAAATCCCCAATTACAGTTAATAATTTTGCGTAAATGAGAAGCTCATTATCAATTCTGTTGTTATTTCCGGTTATTTGACATGTGAGTACCCTTTCTAAACGCGATTATTTTAGTTGCATGTTTTGTTCCATAGGGCGTCTCCCCAAAATCCCGACGAGTACTACATGGCGCTATGCCTTTTAATAAGTCAAGATAGCCCTGACACTGAGACCAAAGTAGGCGCTTGTGTAGTTAACAGCGAAGGTAGTCTTCTCGGGATAGGTTACAACGATTTACCTACTGGTTGTTCAGGTCAGTTACCTATGCTACAAAAAAAGCATTGTAAGGACCACCCGCTAGATCACAAACTTCTCTACAGTAATTTTTTTAATCAGTCGTTATGTAAAGTATATACGATTTTTTTTCAGTGTGTCATGCTGAACTTAATGCAATAGTTAACAGCAAGGGGTCTTTAAAAAATGGTACTATTTACTGTACGCTTTTTCCATGTAATGAATGCGCGAAATTGATTATTCAACATGGTATTAAAAAAATTGTGTATCTTGATGACAAGTATTTTGATAGAGATGCATTCATGGCCTCAAAGAGAATGCTTGGCGTAGCTGGGGTCGAGTACAGGTGCGTATTATATTTGGAGTTGGTTGTGAACTATGAATTTTTTTTTTTTTTTTGTAGACAATTTAGTTCGAAAAGAACCATTACGATTGACTTCTCTAAAAAGTCGGTTTTTTCTTCGCCTCCATATTAGTTTTTATACACCATCTGCAAATACTTTACTTTACACTTGTAAAACTATATATATTCTAAGTATATTCTAAAATTATATACTAATACCAAGCGACTATTCATGTTTGTGATTTTTTTTGTCAACATATTTAAAATTTTATGATGACATCCCTGATGTTAAATTGAAATGTTGGGCACCGGTTAACACTGCTGCCAATAATTCATGATTGCCAACCCAAAAATTTGCTTCAACTATTAATAGTCACCTGGTATTTAAAAAAGCTTTCAAATATATATTAATATAAAGAGTTTACCTTTTTCTTACCTAAACGAACTGATGGTTTTGTTTAGATTATAATCTCAATTGTCTATAAAATGAATAACAATGGATGTATATTTGGTTGCATAATTAATTTTTATTTTTTAATTTTTAGAGATTTCGATCATCGAAAAAATATTGTAAGCAAGAAAGAAATTCAACCCACCTAACCAACCCTTCTGAATCTCTTAATGTACCTTGTCCAACGCATCTAGAAATTCGACCTACATAATCCGCTCCTTCAAACTCCTGCAGATTTATATTTTTCTTTCTGTGAAACTAGCTGGTTTATTAGATATTTTGTTTTAAATCTCCCCTAGAGAAAATGTATTCACGCCACCGTGAAGGTGTGTTTCTCAGGAGAGATAATTTCTCTCAAGTGGATGATATAGCTTTTTATGAGTTAATGTTTGGCACTGATACCCACTAATTGTAAATATTTTGTAGTTACACATTTTTTTCTATGTAGCATATTAAATAAATATTTTTAAGGAAAATGAAATTTTAATAATGTTACTTTGAACGTGGGTAAAATTCAACAATTTATTTCTTAATAACTCGCATTTACACGACGTATTACACAGCGATTATGTACAAAATAATTCCGGTGCAACTTCACTGGGTTTTCTCGACACTCGTTGGTCTCGACTTGTTCTCTGAATAATAGTCGTTCCCGGAGTGCAAAGGTACTTGAACGTTGGTAGGTCCAAACTACAAATAATGTGCCGAAAAATGACGGGTTTCTTAATCTCGAAGCTACCTACTTTGTAAAGTTAAAAATAAATCCCAAAATTTACTGAGAAATAATTTTAGATTTACGTAAATGTTATGTTTGTATAAGTTGTTTACTTAACTTAAACATACTGTACATTTGCATTAAAAATAATAATCAAAAACAATGTTTGTAAAAGTATTGAACTTATTAGCACTTTTTCTGATTTTTTTAATCTAAAATGCCTTGTTAAATAATATTATCTATTGTTTTGCAGATTTTACTCGAAATAATACCTATCTTTGAAAAACACACATGTATTTTGAAATCTATTTTGAAGGATGATAAATCATAAGCATGGTTCATAGTTCATTTTGTTGGCTCGTGATCAGAGATTGAGGGCCGGTTACATAAACGCAAATCAAATTTAATCTCTGATTAACTTCATAGTAACGATTGTTATTATCATAGTTACAATTGTTCTTAATCAGAGATTAAATTTGATTTGCGTTTATGCAATCGACCCTTGAATCGATTTATCAGTAAATTTTATTAAAAAAACTCTTGTAAAATAAAACGCAATTTCCTTATCTCTATAAAGTACACTTAACTTTTCATCAAATTAGCACTTGACACTTATTTAATACTTGAACAAATACAATAGTAAATTGAACAAGTTATAAATAATTTGCTCACCTAATTTGTTAATATCGGTGTATGTTTTAGTGCATATTTTTAATTTTTTTCTGAAAAAAAAAACAGGGTCCCAAAATTAACTCAAAAACAGCTCAGGTCAGAGTTTTCTAAAAATAGAACACCAATAGTCCCCCAAAGTTTTAAATAATTTACAAAAAAATCTTTATGGGCTCCCAAAATAATACACCATGGGTACCTAAACACTGCGGCACTCAAAACTTTTCCAAATTCGTAAAAAAATAAAACACTAAAACCTCAAAAGATTTTTTTAGGTTGATCCAGCAACAAAATTTATCCTTTAAATTTATTATATTAAGCTTCTTGTAGGTCATTTAGGTGCATAGCTTTGAGATGCGTCTCCATTCCCTTCGGTTTTGTGCGTTCTTCCTTCAGTCCTGTATTTGTTTTTCTGTTAGGTCTTCCTCTATCGCTTCTTTCCACTTCTTCCTTGGTCTGCCTCTTTTCCTTTTGCCTTCCGGAATTTTCTTAACTTCTCTCTCTTGGGTGCAATCTTTTTATTTTTATGAAATTGCTTACAACTGTGTCATTGTATAAATCATATATTTCTTCATTAGTTCTTCTTTCTCATCCTCCTTCTGGTTGTTTGATTTAAAGATTCTTCTAAAGTATTTTCCTTTCCTAGATTCCCAGTCTTTGTTTCATTTTATTTGTCACAATCCATGCGCACGCGTATGTTGGGAATACAATAATTTTATTCTTAGTATTACACTACATCTATCCCAACTGATATACTTGTCCTTGCAAAAATGTTGATGACGTCATCGCATTTTTTTTTAAATTCCCACTACAAAAATGTAATGAGAAAAAAACACAATAGGCATGCAGTCGTCAAGTTTCCGACAGCGAGGGAAGTACTGTCTAAACTCTTTAGACCAATTTTTTCGATTTTAAAGTTTCCCAAGTTTCATCTTTCGGTTTTTCATATTTTTAGGTTTTTCAAAGTTTTTATTTTAAGTTTTTTTCATTTTTGATTTTTGAATTGTACAATTTTTTTTGAAAAATCGGAAAAAATTGAAAAATCGAGAAACTTAAAAATCTTCAAAGTTGTGAAGTCGAAAAAATGTAACATTGAAAGATCGAAAAATTGAAACATTAAATATCGGGAAATTGAAAAACGAAAAATGAAATATCGAAAATCTGAAAAGTTTTAAAAATGTTTCAAAATACAATAATTGAAAAATGGAAAAATTCTAAAATCGTAAAATGAAAAAGCGCGATTTTTTTTAGTTCTAATCATTACACATTTAAAATGAAAACTAGAAAAATTCCGAATCAAAAATTGAAGAAACGAAAAATTGAAAAATCGAGAAACTGAAAATCCTAAAATTGAAAAAAGGAAAAATAAAACATCTAACAGTTGAAAAATCCAAAAATTGAAAACCGAAAAATTATTAAAACTCCAACAATTTTAAAAAATTTACATTGAAAAAAAAATTATAAAATTAAAACTCTGTAAACCGAAAAATTGAAAAAATAACGAAACTGAAAAGTGAAACGAAAAATTGCAAATCGAAAAATTGAAAAATTAAAGAATTGAAAAATCGGAGAATTAAAAATTGAAAACTCGTGACACTGTTTTTTACAATTTAAAAAATCAGCATCCAAAAGTTGGAAAATCGAAAAACTGAAAATTTTAAAATGAAAATTAGAAGAGTTCTACATCGTAAAATAGAAGAAACAAAATAAAAAGAAAAATTGCAAATTGAAAAATTGAAAAAACAAGAAATTGTAAAATCCGAACATTGAAAAATTGAAAATTTGAAAAATCGAATAAATAAAAGTTTTAAAATCCAATAATTGAAAAATGGACAGATTTTAAGATCGTAAAATGAAAAAGCGAAAATTTAAAAAAATTATAATTATTATTACATATTTAAAATGAAAACTAGAAAAATTTCGAATCAAAAATTGAAGAAACGAAAAATTAAAAAGTCTGAAATTTGAAAAATCAAAAAACTAAAAACGCAAGAATTATTACAAGTCGAAAAATTGAAAAATCCAAACATTAAAAAAAATATATTGAAAAAAAAAGAAAAATTATATAATCAGAACATTGAAAAATCGAAAAATTGAAAAATTAAACAAAATAAAAATTGGAAACTCGTGAAATTGTATGTAAATTATGCAAAAGTGTCAAAATCTAAAAACTGAAAGATTCAAGAGTTGAAAAACGAAAAACTGAAAAATTTTAAAATGAAAACTCGAAGTATATCGTAAAATAAAAGAAACAAAAAAAAAGCAAAATCTGAAAAATTGCAAATCGAAATTTTGAAAAATCGAATAAATAAAAAAGTGTCAAAATCCAATAAATGAAAAATGGAGATATTCTAAAATCATAAATGAAAAAGCAAAAAAATTTAAAAATTATAATTATTACATTTTTAAAGTGGAAACTAGAAAAATTGTAAATCAAAAATTGAAGGAGCGAAAAACTGAAAAAACGAAAAATTGAAAAATTTAAAAGTTGAAAAAACGAGAAATTGAAAATCGAAAAACTGAAAAATTTAAAAATGAAAATTCGTTGTACATCGTAAAATAGAAGAACCGAAAAAATGAAAAACAAGAAACTATAAAATATGAACATTGAAAAATCGAAAAATTGAAAAGTCGAATAAATGAGAACGTTTTAAAAAATCATAATTATTATTACATAATTTAAAATGAAAACTAGAAACATTGCGAATCAAAAATTGAAGAAACGAAAAATTGAAAAATCGATAAATTAAAAAACCTAAAACTGAAAAAACGAAAAAAAAATCTAAAAGTTGAAGAATCGAAAAATTGAAAACCGAAAAGTTATTAAGTTGAAAACTTGAAAAATCCAAAAATTGAATAAATCTACATTGAAAAAAAGAAGAGTTATAGAATCGGATCATTAAAAAACCGAAAAATTGAAAAATTAAAATTGTTATACAGCCTGTTATTGAAAGGTACGTACAAACTAAAATCGGCAATTGGTCTCGAAGTATGGGTGCTAAAAATTAAAAAAAGTTCAGGTAAAAGTGTTCTCCTTTTAGAGATAAAAATTATTAAAATTTATGTCCAAATTCGTTGTACGCCTCTGATAAAAAGATCATCTTTCGTTTCTATAGCAACATTTAGTCTTGACAAAAGTTTTATTGTTACAGTTGCTAGGATTTACTAAAATAAATTAATTTTACCTATTTATCCTTCAGTAGCGTCTAAAAAGGTTGGATAAGGGTTAATTTTCCCCTTATAATTTTGATAACACAAAGTAAGTTTTTCCGACTTCTTAGACTTCGCGAAGAACTGTCCATTTTGTTGTACGTACCTTTCAATAACACCCTGTATATTCATAGTTTTGTTTGTCTTCATATTTCTTTACTTTTCATAATTTTTCTTAATTCTCCTGCACAGTTGTTACTTTTAGCAATTCTCAGCTCTATTTCTTTGTCTTCTTGGCATTTGTTGGTTATCAACACTCCTAAGTACATAAAGAATTCTACTTCTTCAAATTCTACTTTTATTCCTTCTTGTCTGTCTATTTGTAGGTTGTTTTTGTTTCTACTCCCACAGTTATTCTTTAGTTCCACACATATTTTGTTTTTCTATATTAAATTCTAGGCCTAGCTCTTCTACTTGTCTCATTAGCTTTGTTGTTATCTTTTCTAATTCCTTTCTGTTCCTAGCTAGTAGGACCAGGCGCGGATACAGGATTTCGTTGGGTGGGGGGGGGGGGGGGGCAATTTTTGTGTGATTTTACCTATCTACCAGAAATTCGTTCTAAACAAAAAAAATATAAAATTTTAGCTAGTATACTCTTCTTCACATAACATGGGTGACATTTGGTTCTTTTCATTACACGTATAGTGTACAGTAGAACCTCGATAATCCTAATTCCGAATTGGAAAACAAAAACGTCGATATTACCGTTATTAAGACATTTATTGCCAGTAAGTTATCTTCCGATGATGTTATAATTGAGCAACTACATCTTCAGGGTACAACATATGATGCATACAAGGTGGGAGTTAATTTTATATTTAAAGAGAACTTATTGAAACATGATTTTTGGCCGCAAGGTGTATGTGTTAGACGTTTTAATTTCCCAAGGCAGAATTTTTTAGAGAAAATTGCAACTACAGAAACAACATCAGGGTGAAGTCTCAATGTTTCAGGGTAATTAGTGTTTATTATCAAAATGTTAGGAGTGTTATGTCAAAAGTTAATAACTTGTACTGTTTTTTAACACACCTTGAATATGATTTCATTTGTCTGACAGAAACTTGGCTAGACCCATCTGTTAGTAGCTCAGAACTGATACCTAAGTCTTATAGTGCCTATAGAAAAAATCGTAATTTTGAGGCGACTGGAAGAAGTAGAGGAGGTGGAGTTTTGTTAGCGCTTCATGAAAAATTTAATGCAACCGGTATTGATTTATCTCATATTTGTTTTCCTGACTTAATAGATGTTGTGGGATGCACATTATGCTATTATGTATTTTAGTTGTCTATGTTCCTCCTGATGTGTCGGTCGATGACTTTGAATATTTTGTAGATTGCGTAGAAAATCTTTTAATTAAATATGAGAAATCTCTATTTGTTGGAGATTTGAATGTTTCAAATTTTCTTGGGAAGACTAATGACGCGAAGTCTAACTGTGTGCATAATATGGCGTCTTTTCTGAATATTGTGCAGTCCAACACAATACTTAACTGGGATGGTCGGTTATTAGACTTAGTCTTCAGTAACTTAAATAATTGCGTTGTGACAGCTATCATCCTGCACTTTACATCACGGTCAATGTTGTTGAAGGTTCATTTGTTAATTTTCCAGGGAGTTCTAATAGCAAAGATTACAGTTTTAGCAAAGCTAATTTTCCAGTACTTTATGAGGAATTACTTACTGTTGACTGGAGTTCTATCTATTCAATCACAGACGCTAACAATGCTTGTGACGTTTTATACAGGATAATTAACAATGTTTTAGATAAGCACGTGCCGAGAGTGAAATATAGTAAACCTAGATTTCCCAAGTGGTATTCAGATGAATTGAAAGGCTACATTAAACTTAAGGAAAAGAAGTTTAATCAATACAAGTTAAATAACTTGAACACAGAATCCTATAAACAATTTTGTGGTGTTCGACGCATTGTTAAACAATTAATTTCTAGAGATTTTAGAATCTATATTCGTGAGACTCTCAGAATTCATTAAGTAATGACTCAAAGCTCTTCTGGTCATATATTAAAGACAAGACTTCAATCCCAGGCAAGCTTCATCTTAATGATGTATATTTTGAAAAACCAAAGGATATTGTTGATGCGTTTGCTCGTCATTCCAGTTCAACTTTTAGTTCGTCTACTCCTAATCAAGTTAACTACAATACCAGTTTATTTAGTGCCCACAATAATCTTAATGTCAACATAGTTATTGATGAATCAGAAGTACTTAGAGCTATGAAAAAGCTTAAAGATTCTCGGACATCAGGGTCTGATCAAATTCCTAATTTTGTAATTAGAGACTGTAGTTCTGTTTTTAGTAAACCGTTGGTATTCCTTTTCCAATTGATCTTAAAAACGTCTTGTTTTCCTGACATGTGGAAACTTTCTAAGGTTGTTCCAATCTTCAAAAAGGGCGACCCTGGGGATATCTACAACTATAGACCCATATCATTACTTTGTAATTTTTCTAAGATTCTGGAATCAATTATCTCCAGACACTGTTTTTTCAGCTGAAATGTTTATTGACACCTAGACAGGATGGTTTCTTTACTGCCAGATCAACTTTGACTAACTTGACTTGCATCTCTAAAGAGATAATCAGCACATTTGAGAGCATGAGTCAACTGGATGTAATTTATCTTGACTATTCTAAGCCATTTGATACAGTTGACCATGAACTGCTACTTTTTAAGCTGTCAAGTCTGGGTCTATCTGAATCAATCACAAAATTTTTTGCCTCCTACTTGAGCATCATGATCAATGGTCATCTCTCAGACCATTATACGGTAACCTTTGGTGTTCCCCAAGGGTCCACTCTTGGGCCCTTACTATTTTCTATTTTTATTAATGATATCACTAGCAGCATTAAGCATTCTAAAATCCTGATATTTGCTGATGACATAAAGTTATATCGCAAGGTCGTAAATAATGGTGACTGTGGACTGCTGCAACATGACCTTAATGAAATACATCATTGGTCCTGCAATAATTGTCTTTTGCTTAACAATGATAAGTGCAATGTTGTTACATGTTTGAATAGGCTGAACGTGTTAATGTTTGAGTATTCAATAAATAATGTTAGTCTAATAAGATGTTCGGAGATTAAAGACTTAGGTGTATGGTTTGATTCGCACTTTACCTTTAAAGTCCACATTGACTTTCTTGCAACCAGTGCTTTGAAGATCTTAGGTTTTATATTACGGATCTGCAAGGATTTTGATAATATCCAGACGTTGAAACATTTGTTGTTATTATTATTCCCTTGTTAGGACGAAGCTTGAATATTGCTCTCTGGCCTGGTTTAGTGGTTTCCATACTACAGATATCAATGCACTTCCCTTGAAAACATACAGAGGAAATTCTTGAAGTATCTTTATTTCAAGGAATTCAAACAGTGGCCAGTGAAGAATTGTGCTCAAAATTTTTTGTTTGACAAATTTGCTGTGAGATCGCTAAGTTGTCGTAGGATTAATAAGTAGTGCTATTGTGTTTTTGTATAAATTGATACATGGTAAGTTAGACTGTTGCGAATTGCTAAGTAAGCTGAACTTTTATGTTCCCCGGTTGAACAGTAGACATAGGGTCACTTTGTACTGTCACACTCCACGAACTAATATAGATAGGAAAAGTCCTGTTTATATTATCATATATTTACTAGGTAAATTGGAATTAAGTAGAGATATTGATATTTTCAACTGCAGTTTAAGAACTTTAAATTAAACAGTTGAGGATACATGTAATTCTATCATTTAATTCTTAAGTTAAGTTGAGGGGTTTTGATTATTTTTTTATATTTTCGTATATATAAGTGTCCTATTAATGGAACGTTGTATACTGTTGGGCAATGAATTTTATCTTATCTATAAAGTAATAATATAGGAGTATAAGAAGAATGGAACAACACAACTCAATGATTAACAAGTAAACTATAAAACAAAATCTCCACAACTAATCTATCATTATAGTTAATAATTTTGGGTAAATAAGAAGCTCATTATCAATTGTGCTGTTATTTCCGGTTATTTGACATGTAAGTATCCTTTCTAAACGCGATTAATTTAGTTACATGTTTTGTTCCATAGGGCGTCTCCCCAAAATCCCGACGAGTACTACATGGCACTATGCCTTTTATTAAGTGAAGATAGCCCTGACACTAAAACCAAAGTAGGCGCTTGTGTAGTTAATAGTGAAGGTAGTCTTCTCGGGATAGGTTACAACGATTTACCTACTGGTTGTTCAAGTCAGTTACCTATGCTACAAAAAAAGCATTGTAAGGACCACCCGCTAGATCACAAACTTCTCTACGGTAATTTTCTTTAATCAATAATGAGTCGTTATATAAAATATATACGATTTTTTTTAGTGTGTCATGCTGAACTTAATGCAATAGTTAACAGCAAAGGGTCGCTAAAAAATGGTACTATTTATTGTACGCTTTTTCCATGTAATGAATGCGCGAAATTGATTATTCAACATGGTATTAAAAAAATTGTGTATCTTGATGACAAGCATTCTGCTAAAGATACAACCAAGGCCTCAAAGAGAATGCTTGACTTAGTTGGGGTCGAGTGCAGGTGCGTATTATATTTGGAGTTGGTTGTGAAGCAGGAATTTTTATTTTTTTTTGCAGACAATTTAGTTCGAAAAGAACCATTACGATTGACTTCTCTAAAAAGTCGGTTTTTTCTTCGCCTCCATATTAGTTCTTATACACCATCTGCAAATAATTTACTTTTACTTCACGCTTGTAAAACTATATTATATTCTAAGTGTATTCTAAAATTATATACTAATACTAAGTGACTATTCATGTTTGTGATTTTTTTTTTTGTCAACGTATTTAAAATTTTATGATGACATACTGATATTAAATTGAAATGTTAACATTGCTGCCAATAATTCATAACTGCCAACCCAAAAATTTGCTTCAACTATTAATAGTCACCCGGTATTTAAAAAATCTTTCAAATATATTTTAATATAAAGAGACCTTATCTTACCTAAACAAACTTATGGTTTTGTTTAGATTGTAGTAATCTGTCAATTTTAGATTTTGAAATGGGAAAATGGGATCCAGAAATGAACAACAATAAATGTATATTTGGTTGCATAATTGATTCTTATTTTTTAATTTTTAGAGATTTCGATCATCGAAAAAATATTGTAATCAACTAAGAAATTAAACCCACTTAACGAACTATTCTGAATGTCTTAATAGACCTTGTCCAATACATCTAGAAATTCGATTTACAAAATTCGCTCCTTCAAACTTCTGTAGATTGATATTTTTTCCTTTCTGTGAAACGTACTAGTTTACTAGATATTTTGTTTTAAATCTCTCCTAGAAAAAATGTAATAAGCAATATTTTTATGTTTTTAAGTGAATGAAAAAAAAACTGTGAAAATTCAAAACCTTAGCACGAAGCACAGTTTCAGTTCTTGCATAATTTTCAAAATAAAATTAAGTCGGTTTAAAATCGCCCATTATCATTTTTGCATAAACACACAAATCATACATATGATTCACACCACCGTGAAGGTGTGTTTCTCAGGAGAAATAATTTCTCTCAAGTGGATGTTTAGCTTTTTATGAGTCAATGTTTGCCACTGATAGCCACTAATTGTAAATATTTTGTAGTTACACATTTTTTTCTATGTAGCATATTAAATAAATATTTTTAAGGAAAATGAAATTGTAATAATGTTAAAGATTGTCCAGAATTATATGAATTTTATGGACTCCCAACGTTAATTTGTTTCACAGCTCAGGCGTCAATTCTATTGTACAGGTAAAGAGCCTATCAGGGGAAAGCCGATCTTTTCTGTACCTGAGTTCGCCTCGCTCTTCAGCTAAACAATAAAACTGACAACAGGGCTGTAAAACAAATTAACTTTGGGAGTCCATAAACGTCCATACGTGTTATACAGCGATTATGTACAAAATAATTCCGGCGCAACTTCACTGGGTTTTCTCGACACTCGTTGGACTCGACTTGTTCTCTGAATAATCGTTCCCGAAGTGCAAAGGTATTTAAACGTTGGTAGGTCCAAAGTACAAATAATGTGCCGAAAAATGACAGGTTTCGTAATCTCAAAGCTGAATACTTCGTAAAGGTAAAAATAAATCCCAAAATTTACTGAGAAATAATTTAATATTTACGTAAATGTTATGTTTGTGTAAGTTGTTTACTTAACTTAAACAAACATACTATACACTTGCATTAAAAATAATACATAATCAAAAACAATGTTTGCAAAAGTATAGAATTTATTAACACTTTTTCTGATTTTTTTAATCTAAAATACCTTGTTAAATAATATTATCTGTTGTTTTGGAGATTTTTACTCGAAATAATAACTATCTATGAAAAACATACAGGTATTTTAAAATCTATTTTGAAGGATGATAAATCATAAGCATGGTTCACAGTTCATTTTGCTGACTCGTGATTAGAGATTAAATCTATTTCTCAGTCAATTTTATAAAAAAAACACTTGTAAAATAAAACGCAGTTTCCTTATCTCTATAAAGTACACTCCGAGGTTTCATAAAATTAACAACTTACACATATTTAATACTTAAACAAATACAATACTAAACTGAACAAGTAATAAATAATTTGCTCACTTAATTTGTTAATATTGCTGAATTTTATATAGGATTGGAAACTAAATTGTGAGAGGAACGATAAATAGAAATATAAATCCATGCGTAATTTGAGTGCATAATTTAAATTTAAAAAAAAAACAGGGTCCCAAAATTAACTCAAAAACAGTTCAGGTCAGAGTATTTTAAAAATAGAACACCACCTAGTTCCCCTAAATTTTAAATAATTTACAAAAAAATCTCCATGGGCTTCCAAATTAATACACCATGGGTACTTAAACACTGCGGTACTCAAGAGTTGTTCAAATTCGTAGAAAGTAAAACACTAAAAGCTCAAAAGATTTTCTCAGGTTGATCCAGCAACAATATTTTTCCTTTAAATTTATTATATTAAGCTTCTTGCAGGTCATTTAGGCGCATAGCTTTGAGATGCGTCTCCATTCCCTTCGGTTTTGTGCGTTCTTCCTCCAGTCCTGTACTTGTTTTTCTGCTAGGTCTTCCTCTATCGCCTGTTTCCACTTCTTCCTTGGTCTGCCTCTTTTCCATTTGATTTCTGGAATTTTCCACGCCACCATCTTAACTTTTCTTTCTTGGGTCATTTTTTTTAGGTGTCCTAACCGTTGCAATCTTTTTATTTTTATGAAATTGCTTACAACTGTGTCATTATATAAATCATATATTTCTTCATTAGTTCTTCTCTCCCATCCTCCTTCTGTTTGTTTTCCTCCAAAGATTCTTCTAAGTATTTTCTAAGTATCTTCCCTATTTAATATTTGTTCGAAGTACTGTTTTCATCTTCTTAATTTTCCTTCATCGTATTAAGTTGCCTTCTAAGTATATCTTTTTTATCAATGAATCCATAGTTTTTAGAATTGCTTACACAGGGTGATTCAAAAAAATTAATGAATGAGGCAGTTCATTGTATTGGTATTATTAGTAATACGTTGCATCTACTCAAATTGATATACGTATCCTTGCAAAAGTGATGTCATCACAAAATTTTGTAATAGAAAAACTCACGCGTAGCACACCTCACATTAACTTTATCAAAATTCGCAGATCAAATTTTACAAATTTTCTAAAAATCTGGATTTATTTACCCTCGACCAATTTTTTGATAACACAATTTTCTGTTTTTACAATATCTTTAGTTATTATTAATTAAGTTAAATTAAAAATTAATTATCATTATGTATTAATTCTTCGAGTTTTCAATGTTTCGGTTTCACAATTTTTCCAACTTTTCAATTGCTCGACTTCTAAATTTTTCGGTTTTTCGATTTGGTCTTTTTCAGTTATGCAATTTTACGATATTACAATTTTTCATTTTTTAATTTTTCACTTTCTCAATTTTTAATTTTTCGATTTACAATTTTTTGTTTCCTCAGTTTTTCAACACATTGTAGAAATTGTAGAAAAAAATTTGGGAGACCATCGCTTAAAAGTGCCTTTACGTCACCACATCTCATCTGCTTTTCTTTCAATTCTACCTGCGATATTTATGACTTGAAAAGATAATCTAATGGTGTCTTTTTCGCAACTAGTATTAGTGAGTTTGATCAAAAACTGAAAATTTTTAATAGCACTACACGTACGTACTATTATGAATAAAATAAGACCTTCAAATAAAACAGGATTGTGTTTTCTCTATTATTAAATAAACAAAAAGCAATGCATGAGATCGTGTAGCATTTTCCTAAATATTGTCCGGAGTGATTTTGACGATATTTTGAAAATATGAAACGGAAAGGAAGAACCAAATAAATGAAGAAATAATTTAGGTAAATATGTTCTATATCGTGAAAACTAAATTTATAAAGTATCTTTCAGATTCGATCTTTCAACTACCTCATCAGCCACAAATTAAAACAAAAAGGTGCAATTTATTGTAAACTCACTATACACTGGAGTACAAGTGAAGCTGTATACTGAAGGTAAGGGCAAAATACTCATTATTTCTACTTTGATTTCAACATTCTGGCAGTTGTACACAAACAAAAACTAATTATAAAATTTCTGTAATTTTTTTAAATGATTATAAATCTATTTGTATTATTAATAAATTAATTACAGCCGTATGGTCTGTTCACAACCGAGAAGATTCGAACAGCTCGAAAATTTCCCAGCTTGGGGATTTTTTCGGCGCTTCGAACCGTTGGTAGGACTGAAGAACGCTTAAAGTAGTATTTGTTAGTACAGTATAGTGTAATATGACAGTGTGGGTTTGGTAATTTTTGTGACGTTAACAATGTCAAAGTTGTGTTAGATCCGTCACTTGGTAGAAGTTGTATAAATGTTGTTAATAAAAAATTAATAAATAAAAAAGAATTATTTTTTTAGTAGATTTAAGAAGCAACAAACTAGCTTTTAATAAAAAATTAAAGTGTTTTTGAAATTGAATCTTAACTTGGGTGAATTGAAAGACTAGGAATAATAATCACATACACCTTATCTTCCTTCATGATAAAAAAAAAATTAATTTTCCTAATGTTGTACTGACCTCTAGTATTCAAAAATATTTTTGTAATGAATTGTTAAATTTTGAATCAATCGTTCAATTTATTTTAATTAAATGAATAGTCCAAAAAAATTTGTTTGGAAAATAAAACTGGACAAAATTAAAAAAATTGTTATTATTTAATTTAATAAACTAAAGACTGTGATTATTATTACTATTATTACTTATTTAAAATGAAAACTAGAAAAATTGCAAATCACGAAATGAAAAATCTAAAATTGAAATATTTTTTCGAGAAAAATCTTTCGCTCTTCAGAAGAATGGATAATAAAACCGAAATAGGGGTGGGTGGGTGGGGCTACTGTTTACTTTGTTTTAAATCTGGGATTCTATCGCTTGTTAAAATAGACTTGAATTCCCAGTTTACAGCCGCCCTCTATTTTTTTAGAGAGTATTTCATTTGCCAAAATTAGTGTTATCTTAGCAAGTACTAAGAAAAAAATTAAAAGCTGAAAAATTGCAAAAATCGAAAGGTGGAAAAAATAAAAAATTGAAAACTCGTGAAAAAAAAATTTAATCCACTTTGTACTTTGTTTTAAACATTTGATTCTACCGCTTGTCAAAATAGAATTCAATTCCTATTTTAGAGTAAATAAAATAAGTTAGTGAAATAGAGAAAAGAGGTGGGCGGGGCTGAATTTTTCTAAAAAGTCTTGTAAGCAAGTAGCCATGCCCACCTACCCCCTCTTTATTCCAATGACTACTCTTAATATTGTTTAGTCTTATCTTAGTAAGTTGTAGGCCCGCCCACCCGCCTTCTATTTTCTTAGAGAGTATGCCATTTGCCAAAATCAGTTTTATCTTAGCTACTTCTTGCTGAAATAAGACTAATTGTGGCAAACGACATACCCGCTAAGAAAATAGAGGGCGGGCGGGCGGGGCAAACTTGCTAAGTTGGGACTGAACAATATTAAGAGTAGTCACTGGAACGAGGAAGGGGTGGGTGGGCGGGGCTACTGTTTCCCATTAAACTAAAAGAAACTAAATTTAGCCCCACCCCCCACTTTCTTCCTCCATTTTGCTGACTTATTTTATCTAATGTAGAATGGAAATTGAAAAATAACAGTCGATTTCTAAATTTTTCATATTTCGTTTCTTCAGTTTTTCGATCGGCAATTTTTCAGTTTTGCAATTTTTCAATATTATAGTTTTTCATTTTTCGATGTTTAGGTTTTTCAATTTTTAATTTTCCGATATTTCAAATTTTGGTTTCCTCAATTTTTCAAGTTGTTGATTTGTTTTTTATTTTCCCGATTTCTTAAATTTCATTTTCGAATTTATATCACAATTTTTCGTTTTCTATTAATTATTCAATGTTTCTTTAGATTTTATAATTTTTGTCATTCAATTTTTCAAATTTTCAATCTTTGCTTTTTCAATTTCTCGATTTTTCAATTTTTAAATTTTT